TTGATATAGCCGGTGTATACGATCCAATGGTACCCGATGCTGAATGTCTCAAAATTGTTGTAGAAATCTTAGAAAAATTAGCACTAGGTCCATTCCTTGTTTATGTATGAAACAAAAAATGATCAATATTTATTTCGATTTTTATGTATGTTTCTCTATTGAGGTCAACCATCGTAAATTACTTGATGCTGTATTTGCTGTTAGCGGTGTGCCTGATTCCTTATTTCGTCCAATTAGTTCAGCTGTAGATAAACTAGATAAAGTAAGCGTCTTTTCTTTTACAGCTCGTATTTTTTATATTAGACGATATAATAAATTGTAGACGCCGTGGGATGACGTTAGAAATGAAATGGTCAATCTGAAAGGTTTAAATCCGGATGTAGCAGATAAAGTTGGCGAATATGTTAAATTACATGGTATGTTTTATACGTTATTGAACTTCTAAACAAACGCTTTGAACTTCGGAATCAAAGTTCTGTTTACTAACCGAGATTCTCATCTTTTGAAATTTATTGATACTTTTGTTGTTGTTTTTTTGTTTTTTTTAATGTATTTCATTGTCATTTAGGTGGTGCTGATTTGGTACAAAAATTACGAGCTGATGTTAATTTATCGAAACGAAAAGATGCTCAAGAAGCGTTAAATGATTTAGAATTATTGTTTCGTTATTTACAATTATATGATGTGATGGATAAGGTAAAAGAGTTGAACATTTTATATTTATTACTTGAAAGCCATATTTTTTAAATTATTTTCAGATTGTATTTGATTTAAAATTAGCTCGTGGTCTGGATTATTATACTGGTGTTGTATTCGAAGCCGTATTAAATGAATATAAGTATGATCCATTGCTTGGAGAAGAACAGCTTGCTGTTGGAAGTGTTGCTGGTGGAGGAAGATATGATGAATTAGTTAATAGAATCGATCCAAAAAAACCAAAAGTACCCTGCATTGGAGTCAGTATAGGAATAGAAAGAATATTTTCTATTAAAGAGGAGTTGTTAAAGGTGAGAAAGAGGAAGAATGAGAAAAAAATATTTTTTATAGATTTATTGCATACTGAACTTCATTTTAGAATTCTAAAATCACTGTTAAAACAGTTGAAACTGAAGTTTATGTTGCTTCAGCACAAAAAAATTTATTGGAAGAAAGAATGAAACTATGTTCCTATTTATGGAAATATGGCTTCAAAACTGAAATGGCACTTAAACGTAATCCAAAAATGCTTGATCAATTACAATATTGTGAAAAGCAGCAAGTTGCTCTTTGCGTGATTATTGGCGAGTCTGAATTACAAAATAATATAGTAAAAATTCGAAATGTTTCGACAAGAGAAGAAGTGAGTACTTATTCAAAACAATAGACGTTTAATGTAATATAATTGTTTGTTTCTCATTTTTAGACTGACGTTAAACGTGATTTACTCGCCGATGAACTCCGATCGAGGCTTAACAAATTACGTGAAGAAAAACAACAAGAATGATAGTCAACAATACTTATTTTGATTAATCTGACTGTTCTTACATCTCAGATATTCGTTTTATTTCATTTAGGTGAATTTTTTCTGTTTATTGTTTGTGGCATACTCATACGTAAACATATTATTTATTTTTGTTGTTTGTTGTTCCAGTGATTATTTTTTTAAGTTTAAAGTCCGGATATGCTTTGATATGCTCTTTCGGGTGTCTTCGCCAGTCGACTGCCAACAACATTCTTGGACACATACAATTCTTTAAATACATGGTGATCTCTCGGTTAGCCCATTTGAATTTTTGTTACCGAAAATACGAGGCATTCGATACTACGAAAACTCCAGTCATAAATAATTTGGGCAAGTTACTTTTGTTCATGCACCTCTAATTACCCATCTAATAGCATATTCACTATCTTGTAACGCACAAAGATAGTTTCTCTGGTTTGTCAGAAAGGAGAGCTAATACATTGTTAGTGAATGTATAGAGAACTTATTAGACGAAAGAATTGTGTGTCAGGTTTGACAGAACTGTAAGTGCTGATTAGCAAAGAGATGAAAGATGATTAACCATCGTCGAAGATTACGCGCTCCACGAAAGATATCGGGCTACTTGAAATAAAATCTTATTCAAATTTTTTGAATTAATTATGTGATACTCAATGGAAGGATGATACAATGTCTGATACAGTTACATTTGGTGTGTATTCAGCCGATCTGAGCTTGGACTCAGCTATGCTTACTACTTCTCATCAAGTTTATCGTCATAAGAGCGATCTGCCTGTATTGGAAACATACCAACTGAACATACATGCTTCTTGATGAGCATTTAAGAGACTCTGAATTTGAATAAAGATTCTGAAAGTTTTTATGAAAGCATATCAGATTCGTGATCGGTATAAAAAAATTATCTATAACCAAGTGGGTTTTGAGGAAAATTTTGAAAATCCACGCGAAGAGTTTCGCTCATTATTGGCAATATGTTACTCAAAATTTTATAATATTGAAGCATTTTTCTATGACAAGTGAAACGCAGACAGTCAATATGTCAGCATTGGCATTGACTAACATTGTTTCATTTGATACTGATCTAAAATTATTTCAATGAATATTTTCATATTTTTAAGGTTTTACATCTTTTCATTGAGATAAAAGAAGTTCAATACTAATCAAGAGTCAAATGAACCGATTTTATACGCATGTTCAGATGATTTTGTAGACCCAGATCATCAAAATTTTACGAATGCACACCAAACATGCATTATAATGCACCATAAGCGAAAACCATTTGTAAAGAAAATGGCTGACAAACGCTAAGCTATGAACCCAAAACCAGAAAAGTAGTATTTTTTTATAAGCGGCTAAAAAATTACAGTTATGAAAAGTTAATCAAACAACATAGATAAAATAAAACACGATCGGTATTAGACAGAAATTGCGGAAGGTTGACGACGTTTAGCCACAAAAATTCGATTACTTGAACATGCAATACAATAAACAAATTGATCATCCGAAACTACAAGTAAATATAAGATTTTCATTTTACTTTTCACTACAAATGTATGTTTTTGGTACCTGTTATTCGTTTAAATGCTATGTGTTTTGTCGGATGCACCGATACTTTCGTTGCACATAAGACCATTTTGTAGATATAATTCGCACCTGCTTCATTATTCTCTAAATCCCCGTGACTATGTACAATTGTACCATCTTCATTCAATACTAAATACCCGACACAATCGGGAATCGAATCAAACATTTTTGCTGTCATCTGAAATAAAAAGAGACAGTTTCATATAGATATTCTTTAAAATGAAAAATTTTTATCCATTGCGATACATTTAAAGTTATGCTATGTAAAATCTTACAATCTTATGCTGTTCATTTAAAACCGTCGACTATGTAATGCGCTCATTAAAACGAGAGCACTTTGAACAAGAATAGCAGCGCATATACAGTTTGTATGTAAATTTGACTGTGGATTAACCTGGCATATAAAAATAGCGAAAATGAGCAATCAGGAGATAATTAACATTTATCATATTTTTTATTGAACTCACTGAGAGTGACATCTTTTTTATTATTTTTGAAAAGCTCTATTGTTACAGCAAATTATCATATCCGATAAATTCATTGATAAAAAATTAAAATGATTTACTTTAGAAGAAAAACTTTTCAAGAAGAATTATGCTCGAATTTGTCGAAGCCACGACTGGGCACAAATGGCGAAATTGTGGTTGTAACTTTAGCGTGATAAGATGTGCGATGCGTGATACAAAGTATTGGACGAGTGAACGGTGAAGTAAGCGTGAAACTGTAGAAACAGTATTGTCAACCACTGTTTGAGAAATTCTCATTGCTCCGCTTGTTACAAGACTCGACTTTTTCGACCTGTAGGAAAACGTGCACAATTTGAAAAAAGAACGAGGCAAAGATTTTTTTTGAATATGCCGAAATATAGAGTCGAAGTTTTCGTATAAAATGCGGGGTGGCAGAGCTGCCAGTATTCTTTTATTCACATTTTGTATTTGTTCTAATAATGTTTTCCACTGAACCTAAGCTCGTTTATACGTTGAGTGCAGAATTACAAGCAAAAATCATTCAGAACTCCTAAACACCTTTTTTTTATAGAGAAACATGTACTGTGCAACATGGCTCGTAGCATCTCAGGCCGACCTTCATGAGCTAAATTTTTATCATGGATGTGTGCTAAAATTCTCAAGAGTATTATAATAATCATCATCAAGATTGTGATTTATAGATACAATATAGTGTGTATGTAAGAAATATGGAAATGTTCACGATGTAATATGAATTTTATGGTATTTGGTCAATGTTTGTAGCAGACTTAACAAAACTGCACCTACAATATTATTAATACAAATACGAAAAACATATTGATAACACCGATTCAACATGAGAAAGACAAAATTAGATCAGTGTTATTAGAGGCATCGGCGCTACTCCATCTAGATGCAAAATTGAGCGTAACTGGGTATTCAAACAACGAAAACTTTGATTTTTTTTGCTATGGTCTTTGAAAATTAGTGTATTTGTGACATTTTATATTGTATTTTTCTTTTATTCTACTAAGAATTTAAATATACAATTTTGGACTTTTTTTACTTTTTCACTCAGTTGAAATAGTGCAAATCAAGCGATAACAACAGACTTATGAGTTAGATATACATGATAGCCATTTCTATATGTAGACAAAACAACGATAAAGGCGAATTTTGTCTTGCACGAAGTATGAATCGGTTACTTCGATTCTTCGTTTAAGCTGGAAACTACACAGGGCTGTATGTTTATTAAAAAATTTATTTTCGTTTTATTTTGACTAATACTAATGATTTCGATAGAACAAATAGAAAGTTTTCTTTTTGCGAGAAAATTTGTATAATAAGACATCTAGATCTTGTTCTCAGAGTATATGTGTTTACTTTTCAATTTAGAACAGTGTTTTGTTATTGTTATAAAATGCCCTTCTTTATCCGCAATAGAAATGATTCAAAAGATAAAAAACAGAAGAAACGAAAGGTTTGTTGTAAAAGATATTACGTTTAGTTTTAAACCATATTTTTCTGTTTGTTCTATTTAGAAAATTTTGAACAATAAACTTTCACAACAACATAAATCGAATAAAAATTTTAAAAGCTCAAACTCCATTGATTCTGAGAGAATATCAAACAAGAAAAATAACCTTATCGAAGATGATGAAGAAATTCCAAGTGATACAGATGATGAAGTAGAAGAAGGAAATGAGAAAGTATCAACAAATGGTCATTATAGTTTAAATAATCTGATTAATGCAGAAAATGATGAAGATGAAGAAACGAACGTACATGAACGACGTTTAAACTTAGCTAAACAATACATTGCTGATATTGAAAAACAAGGTAACAGATAGAAAATTTTGTTACAATTCTCATAAAATTAAATATTTTTCTTTTTTCAGAAGAAGAAAAAAATCTTGATCGTGATTTAGTTTCAGAACGTTTACGTGACGATGTGGTAAATAAAACCCAAATTATGACAGTCCTTAGGTGCTTATTTGATATTCATTTTAGCTTGAACAAACAGGCAAATTACATCGACAAGTAGCATCAACAGTATGTAGGTTCTGGATTTTTTGCTGCCTTAGTTCTTTGGGCAAAAAATGATTAAATTTTCAATTTTTTTTAGTATACTCAACCTGTTTTATATCACACATGTCATGGTCATCAACAAACAGTAACATGCGTGGCTGTATCTTCTGACGGGAATTACGTCTACAGTGGATCAAAAGATTGTAGCATAATCAAATGTAGGTTATACTATTCATTTGTGGTTTATGTTAATAATGTACACGGTATATTTATTTAGGGTGTCTGGTAACCGGTAAAAAATTACATCTCATACGCCGTTTAACAAAGCCTAAGGATGAATCAGCTAAAAGTACTGCAACAGTATGTGGTCATTATAATCACGTATTATCGTTGGCATTATCAACAGATGGTTTATATTTGGTTAGTATTTTGGTTAAAGATAGGTGGTCATATTTTATTAGATGTTGTGGATTTGTATTAATTTTTTTAAGATTTTAGGTATCAGGTGATAAATCAAATTTAATTCAAATATGGAATGGTAATACTTGTCAACATTTAAAAACATTTCGAGGACATAAAGGACCGGTGACAGTAAGTTTTTTCCATTAAAATAAAATTATTTTTTCCTTTTAATCTATTTATTTTTTTCAGGGATTAGTATTTCGACGCAATTCTCATCAGTTATTTAGTGCATCACATGATCGATCAGTTAAAGTATGGAATTTAGATGAAATGACATATGTTGAAACATTGTACGTAGATTTAGAGAGACCAATTTGTTATCCAAAAGTTAGCAGTGTTAAAATTATATTGTTATTTATATTAGATTCGGTCATCAAGAACCGATTCAAGCAATTGATGCATTGATGCGTGAAAGATGTTTAACTGCTGGTGGTCGGGATAATACATTGAGATTATGGAAAATTATCGAAGAATCACATCTTGTTTTCAATGGGCATAAGTATGCACAGTCATTTTCTTTTTTTTCTCTTCAATGCTGAGTTTTTACCTTATTCTCATATAGGGGCTCCATCGATTGTTTATCATTCATTAATGAAGAACATATGTTATCAGGTGCTGACGATGGGTAAGAAAAAATAGATAAATGTATGTGTCTGCAGGCTATATGGTTTTGATTGATGTTTATCATTCAGATCACTTGCATTGTGGACAGTAAATAAACGTCGTCCACTATTTCACTTACCTCATGCACACAAACCGTTGACAACAATAGATATTCTCGACTCATCCTTGCCGGAAGAATATTGGATAACAGCATTAACAGCATTACGTTATACAGATTTAACTGCTACCGGTTCCTTTGATGGATCAATAAAGCTTTGGAAATGTACAGCAGAATTTAATCATATGTCCGTATTGTTTACTATACCACAGGTAATATTCATCTACTTATATTACAATATCGGTTTAAAACAAACAAATCGTTTTAGATGGGTTTTGTAAATGATTTGAAATTTTCAAACGACGGGCAATATTTAATTGCTGCTGTTGGTCAAGAACATCGATCAGGAAGATGGTGGAGTGTAAAAGGAGCAAAAAATTCCGTCGTTATTTATAAATTAGGTAAACTAACTTCTGATACGGTCTAATCTAATGTTTTTCTTGCTGTTATTTGTTTTCTCTTTGTTGGTGTTTCTTATTATATAAAATAGGATAAAAAATATTTCCGTGTTAGAGAAAACAAAATTGTTTTCTAAACTTTTTTTATTACCATTAAATGATATAATGTTGGCCACAACAGGGAAAATCTTTTTTCTTTTATATGCACATCGAAAAACGGATTTTTTTCTCTTCAAAGAGCAAAATAGAGTAGAATGACTTAATTATGGTCAGGTCTTAAAAGGTTCTGTATATTTCTGGTACAGTATGCTCAAATTTCACTTGGTGAAAGCGGTATTTCACAAATAAATAGATTTCATTGTTTTCTGTCGTTCAAAATTTGCGAAAAATTGATTAGTATTAATGAACATCAATCAACTTACTACTAATATTCATCAATTTGATAATTGGGATAATTATGGTCGATATATCCGAAACGGCCAGAATAAGTTAAATTTACTTTGTTCCAATAAGAAAGTGTAAAATTAAATCAAGAAGTTGTAGAGAAGATTGTTCTATGTTTCTTTTTAAACAATTTATAATAATGCTGGATCGACAAGATAGAGAATCGTTACCTGTTATCAAATTATGAGTATCCCTGTAAGTCAATCGCCAAATTTACCCTAACTGGGCTAAATTAAGGTGACAAGTGAAACGCGAAGAACCTTCTTGAGATTCTCCTTCACGTTGCTAGGATACTTTCATCATACCTTTCTTTTTTTACGAGATTGCATCTTCTGTAAAGGCTACAGGTTGTTCGAGAACAGATGATGATTGTAGTACGTACATCTCACCGACGTGTTTATAACGTGCTTTTTGGGTAAGTTCTGTGATATAGTTGTAAAGTTATACAGAAAAATATGGAAAAATGATCTTCTCTTCTGTTTTTTTTCATTCTCCTTCTTGATCCGGAAACATCTCACAAAATTGTATACAGTTCATACGTTTTATTTTGAAAGCGATGTGTAGAAAGACCAATTATTCGATCAATTAGTGAATTTCGTCTAATTTTCTCACTTTTCGTGCAATGGTGCGGACTCAATTTTCATTCATCATCACGGCTGTTAGGCGCTACTGGAATCTTGAGATAAAATCGGAAGAATGAAGTTGTTAAGCAAAAAGCCCTTTGCTTCGTAAAAAATTTATCGTAAATCTTATATTTAGATGAAACATTTTTTGAGTATTCAAGCTCTGCGTCTTTTGTTTTGATCAATTTCTTTTCATGGTCATTTTTCCAATTAGGCTACTTCTGCATTAGAAATGAATTTCTTTGTAATATAATACTATATTCTAGCTTGTTTATTCATAATAATTTCACATAAATCTGTATCAACTAGAAGATAAGAAAATCAGGTCTAATGATCGTAATATAAAGCCGGACTCCTATTGGTTTGGGTGTTATGTTCATTCTCATACTTTTTCTTGTAATAGTTCGTGAGGTGATGGTACGCAAAAGGAGTATTGAAAAAGTATTTCTAGTCGCATGTAGGTCTATTCGCCTGGTAAGGCAATTATTATTGAAATTGAATGTAGGAATGGAATCGCAAGGGAAAGAACGGTTAGCACTTCTCCACTTACTCATTGGTAATGATTTTATTCTCGCAACCGCCGGCCTCCTTCGGGTAGTCACTTTTATCTCCAAAAGGCTGTGGACATTCCGTGCGATGCATATTCAAATTATAAGTTATGTTTGTTCCGCAGCTCATCAGCTAAATACCAGAACGATCGTTCCGGAGCTTTAAATTTAGTACGACCTTATTTTTTCTGAAGCTGCTGCAGTAAATGGAAATACACTGCCGCTGCCTATATCGTATGCACTAGTGTCGGTTCCACTTGTCGCCTTGCAAACTTCATGTGGTATATTTGGCTTCTAGTTTTTTTCTTGTTAATTCGAGTATCTAAGTTTGTCTTACATATTTTTGAGAAATAGGTAGCGGTAAAACGTTCTCAAGAATTTTAATTAGAGGCTGAGGTACCTTCGAAATTGTGGCGACTTATTGACTTATAGATCCAGTTATGAGTACAAAAGCAGTTCTATTTACAGCTTAAATTTCAACTCTCAATACCAAGCACAAATTAAATTCAAAATGGAATAAGCATTCACTTATCAGTATTTTTGCTTACAGTATCATGAACATCATTCATCGTATGTCATTCATTCCCATTTTAAGGACAATGAAAGGTAAGTAAATGCTGTTTTTAAGCATGCTTGCGAATATTATAAATTAACTATTGATATTTTGGACAGACCGAATTTAAATAATAAACTTACACGACAATTAAATGCAATTCAAAATTGAGCAACAATGATATTTACTGATGACAGGGGAAAAAGAAGGAAGAAGAATACCTCGCCTTACGGCTATCGTTTCCGGTATAGGATATTGCCGAATAGCAGTTTCAATAGCCCGATGTCTTCCCTGCAGTTGACAAGTTTCTGACAACTGTATTCCATCTCCTTACCAGTCATCAATGAATCACAGCTCTGGACAGAAGGCAATCATGATCCAGAGTTTTTTCACTCAATACTTGAGCACACTCACTAACCACATATCATCTTTCTGGAAAAATAAACCCGAATCAGTCAGAAAGCAGTATTGTATGTCACCACGGAGTAAGAATGCTGTCGGACGAATGATCCGAGGCACTGAGACAGTACATGATCCGTCGACACCAAGATACGTTTGACACAGTACGTTTGAAATACGTGGCGAGCAACAGAAGAATTGGGATCGACAACATTTTGATAAAGAAACGTTACAATGAAATATCTTTGACAACAAGTAAAAAAGCATATAATAGTGTATATTGAACGGATAGATGCCTAAGTTTTTAAAGCATTTTAACAAAACAAAAAAAGCAATGTTTTGGATGTATCAACTCTTGTTGATGGGCACCTTTCAACAATGTTCGCTTTTCCTATATCCGACAATGCTCCGACAGCTATTATTAGTAACTAATCCGGAAATGCTTTATTGGTGTATAAAATAGTGTTTTAGTTGTCGATTCAAATTATCAGTATCTGCCTTCCTATTTGGAACGTTTTCTTCATCGTGGTAGTGATACTCCGTTGAATCATATTTATGACGATGGCGTTGTTCCCACTACAAAAGTTAAAGAGCATTAAGGAATCTAATTAGTCGATAAAAACTTAAGCCGTCACGAAAACATGACTTCAGTCGGAATTAAGAATGTTGATTGGTTGTAAAGTTAATTGAGATTAATAATGTGAACAAGGCCGATGTCTCTATATTTGTGTTCTTACAACTGAATTATTGTACTCGTTTAATGGATTTGAAGAAGAAACTACATTTGATAAAAATAGTAAAATCTGTTAGGGAATAACGTTGTTACGCTTAACGCTCTTCGTAAATAAAATGAATTTAAATTTTTTCTTAGCCCTTTACTCATGGACCGCAATAGTGATCATTTGTAGAAACGTTACAAAAAATGAATGGAGCTTCAAATCCAGGACTAATGAAAACCTATGTATAGTAGACTTCACATTAAAACCAACATTTTCCCCGTTGTTCCATCACTAAAATATATGACATAAAACCAAACTGGTGTCGCTCTAGCGACTTTAAGGATTGGTTACTAATACCGCTTTGCAAAGTTTTGACAGTACGATGAGATCTTTCGCTTCCAACAGAGAACTAACAGATTTCAATCTATTATGGATTCATTTCAACTTTTTGGTTTCATCTTGATATTCTGCGATTAGAATATAAAATTCTGTTTTTCAATATTTGATAATAATATACTATTCGCTTTCCAGGGAGTCGAATTTTTTTAGATTTTTCATCTCAACAAGTTAGAAAAAAAAAATTCTAATTCAACGCGATTTGATATTTCAAATTACAAATAAATATTTGTTTCATAGAGACAAAAACTTGATCTAGTGTATGTAACAAATGTCAGTATACACGATAGATACACATTTTGATGTACTATTTTTCTAGATAGGCAAACATATAATAGTTCAATATATAAATAGAAGATTATAAATATTTCATAGAACGATTTAAAATGATAAACTTAAAAATAAAAGAATGTTTATATTTGCTTAAGATTAAAAGGTGAATATGAACTAGAACCGAACAAATATTAGTTATCTACATAAAGTGTTGAGTCATTTTTTCTTTTGTTTGTATGCGTACAACGTAAAAGAGAACGAATTAAAAAAATTATGAAACGTAGAATACACGTGATAAGGCTTTATGTGTTAAGAAAAAAGCGATTTAGAAAGGTACCATAGAGAAAGAAAAAACAACTTTAATAGTCTGACCAGTAGTCAATCAATATTTAGAATATTAAAATAATATGGATAAACAAGATAATGATCATAATTGGGAAGAGTTAAAGGTAAACGATAATCTCCGTGACAGTATTGAAAATACAATTTTTTTTTTGTAGTATTTATCCGGTTTTGGAAATGACTTCGCATGCGAAGATGTCCGTTGCCCCGACTCACTACCCGAAGCACAGGTATCAGGTCGAAAATGATCAAAGAGACGGTAAAAATAATGTGTTTTGTTCAAGAATTCACCTCAGCAATGTCCTTATGGACTTTACGCTGAACAATTGTCTGGTACAGCCTTCACTTGTCCACGAGAAACAAATAAACGATCGTAAGAGAAACTTTATAACTTATAAGAACACAATTGATTCAAATTCATTGTTTCAGATGGTTATATCGAATATTACCGTCTGTTCTTCACGAACCGTTTATTCCCGTCAAATCCGATTATATAACAAATAAATGGGATAACGAAGAGCCAAATCCAAATCAAACACGGTGGAAACCATTTTTGATTCCTGATGTTCAAAAAGAGAAAAAAGATTTTCTAGAAGTTAGTGAACAACACAACAATTTTAAATATCTGCGTTCATCTCTACCATCTGTAGGGCTTGGCAACATTATGTGGTGCTGGTGATACGCGATGTCGACATGGTGCTTCGGTTTATATTTACGGTTGTAATAGTTCCATGGAAAATAAGGCATTGTGTAATGCAGATGGAGATTTCCTTATCGGTACGATAAACTGTTTAAATACTGAAACAACGTTGGTTTCAACAACGTTATTCATTTCAGTTCCACAACATGGTCAGTTGCGTGTAACAACTGAGTTCGGACGAATGTTAGTGAAACCCGAAGAAATTTGTGTTATACAGGTGCGATGAATATCCGGCGACTATTTCCTCTTATCGTGTTTTTATCTTTAGCAAGGCATGCGATTTTCAATTGACGTAGATCAACCAAGTCGTGGCTATATTCTTGAAGTATTTGATAATCATTTTGTTCTACCAAATTTGGGACCAATTGGTGATATTTCAATCGCACTAATCTTCAAACATCTTACCATCTATTTGTTTGTATTTCTAGGTGCGAATGGTTTAGCCAATCCACGAGATTTTCTTTCACCCACAGGTTTACTGAATTTTTCTATCCTTCACTGTTTTTTATATCATCTATTCATTTATTAGCATGGTTTGAGGATCGTGAATGTGAATTCACAGTTATCCATAAGTATCAAGGAAGTTTATTTCAATCAAAACAAGTACGTGTAGAGAATGAAATGTGATTTACAAGTAGTTCTAAATATCTACTTTAGAATTATTCATGTTTTAATGTTGTTGCATGGCATGGAAATTATACTCCATACAAATATGATTTAAGAAAATTCGTCGTTATCAATTCTGTCTCATTTGATCATATAGTAAAACTTATTTTAACTAAGAAAGAAACCCTGATGAAGTAATCGCCTCTGCCTTTTCTAGGATCCATCCATTTTCACCGTACTTACTTGTCCATCATTAAAGCCGGGAACAGCTATAGCAGATTTTGTTATCTTTCCACCGAGATGGTCCGTACAAGAACACACATTCAGACCACCATATTATCATAGTATGTTATAAAAAATTCTTTCATTAAGAGAAAAGTAGCGTTTTGATCCAGACTGAGATTAGAACAATTGGATCATCTCTATCGATCAAGTAGTATGAGTATTTTCTCCTATGAATATTTAGTTTAACTGATTTTTCCTCAGATATTATGCCAAATACACATACGTCGTCATGTTCATTGTTTAGGAAATTGTATGAGCGAATTTATGGGCTTGATAACAGGCAAATACGAAGCAAAAGTAGGTAGTATATTGTAAACATTAGAAGTGTGTAGCAATTTCAGTTTTTTCAGGAGGAAGGTTTTCAGCCTGGTGGTGCTACCTTACATAGTATGATGACACCACATGGTCCGGATGCCGACTGTTTTGAAAAAGCCATCGTAGAAGAACTTACACCAAAAAGAGTAGCCGAAGGCTCATTGGTAAGAAAATGTTAATAGTATAAGTATGTTTTAAACTATTTGGTTCATCAATGTTTAGGCATTCATGTTCGAAACTTCGTTGAGTTTGGCTTTGACAAAATGGAGTTTGAGTACATGTGAACGTGTAGATAAAGACTATTTTAAATGTTGGAGTTCATTAAAGAAACACTTTACTGGTTTGAAAATTGATGATCAGAAACATTCATAAAATGAGTATTCTTTTGTACGGACTTTTTCATTTTTTATCGTCAATAAACTTGTGAATATAACTCTTTAAGCTTGTATAACATTCAGGGAATATGATGAATATGATTCAAAATTCACTAGTTTATTTATATGTTTAATATAATATTGCTGTACTCGAATAAGATAGTGTAAGAACAGGAACTGGGATAGTAGACGGGACTATCCCCACCCTCACATAAGAATTAAAAAAGCCGCCTTATTATCTTTATTAATTTAAATTACTTCTGAGAACATTTTTAGAAGTTCAAAATCAGAATCTAATCTCAAAGTAGACAGCAAAAGAGAAGACCATCTTAACCATAGCTAATATTGAGAGTTTCTCCGACGGAGCTATGTCTTGATTGTCACATAGGGTTAAGAACGAACAACGGGCACTTATTGAATGTAGAATAATATTAGATTATAGTTAAATAATTTCTACATAAGTACACAGATCGAATTTATACGACCGTATGCGGCGATTTACGACCAAATACGGTTGTATTCCATGCAGACGCAATACTTTATTGTTTACAACCGTCGCCATTCACGATTGTAAATAATCGTAAACGTTTTCTTTACGAACATCGTATATGACAATGTATCACGTCAGCACGTATACGACGATTTATAGTCAAATATGACCCAGATATTAGATGCGTGATGGAGTGAAGAAGAGGAATATACACTCTCCCACTTTTTAAAACGTATTGTTTTTCTCCTGCAGAAATAACCTTTTTTAAATTTTAAACATTCACATCTTTGCAAAGATTTTTGAGATGCGGTGGTTTCTGTAAGAAAATGGCCACAATATGATTTTGAGCGCAAATTGTCTACGGAAATGCTTCGCGCTTTAATTCATAACCTGTTTAAACTTCCAAAACTTCTGGAAAACTGCAGAGAGACATTTTTTACAATTTTTCATTACTGTCGTAAACAACAGCATCAATCCATTGAAGGTCGATAATGGGCTTCGTCCCGATGACGTTGTTTGATTGAGAATGAATAAAGACATAAAACAATCCTGCGTCCCAAGCTTTTCTCATAACTTCCAACTTCTTAACAAGAACTTACATATAGAACGATAGAGAATTTTCTGCGCTGCAAAATGAGCTAGCTATAAAGAATCTTTTCAAAAATATGTCCGTATGAAACCATTCCCGAAATATTGACGTGAACTATTGGTTTTTGTATTTGCAAGGAGGAAATATTTAACTATGATCTAATATTATCCCATATGCTGAAAATTTGTGCATTTTTGTCGATTAATCACGATGGTTGAAAAAATCGACGCTCAATCACGATTCGGGAAAAAATGGTCATTTAATCGCGATTAAGTGATAATTTTTTCGTGAATCGCGATTAATCGATGACTTTGTCAATCATCGCGATTAATCACGAAAATCATCAATTAATTGCGATTAATTGTTGATTTTAAGTGATTAAATGGTTGTTGTTATTCACCGTTTTCTTTTGCAATAAAGTTTGTATATAAGAAACACGCTTTCAGCGAAAAATACACTTATATTCAGATCATTTTTTTATTTTAGAATACAACGGAGTTGTCAAGAGTCTTCTCTATTGTTCCTCAGAGCTTTAAACCGAGAAACCCAGTGAACAGCTGGTATGGGGGCAATGTTTAAAGCTGACTCGTCGGCAAGACTCCGACGCCAGCTGGTGCTAAGACCATTGCTGTGTGACGATATGTCATTATACGTAATAAACAATGAAAAAACAGAAAAAAATATGTATTTCCTAAGATGGGTTCGAACCTAGTATCTAGAAAAAAGTCGTCAATTAATTGCGATTAATCGCTAAAATCGCCTAAAAATCACCAAAAAATCGGCAAGTAATCGCGACTAAAATTTTTTTTTTCACGATGATTTTTTACGATTAATTGCCGATTTTTATGCGATTTTTAGTACATGGGATTCCACATTCAATAAGTGCCCGTTGTTCATTTTTAACCAAATGGTCAGTTTTTTTCGTGGTTTTGAGCTAGATTATGTGCTAGTTTCCCTTTTTTTAAACTCTATGTGATGATAAAGATATAACTTCGTTGGTTTCGGTGCTGGAACTGGTTGGGAAACGGTAAACCGGGTCGGTCGAAAAATGCAACCGCACTGATCCGGCTGGTGAGGGTGGAATTACACCTCAAACCGGTGAAAAACCAGCGAAAACCGGTAAAATACCAGCAAAGTTTTTTGAAAATCGATTTTTAGAAAGAATTTCTTCCAGAAATGAAATAGTTCGCGAGCACATGTGAGAGAACCTTCACAATAACGAGTCTATAACATTTAACGTTAAAACGAGTTATGAAAATAATATCTGTGTGAGCATCGTCTTATTTATTCTGACTGAGAAAGATATGAAATTTTAGTTTTTTGACGAAAAACAGGGTCCAAGGAGCAGATTTTTCAAAAATTTCAACCAGCGAAATACCGGTTTCTACCGACCCAGTTGACTTTCTTAACCAGTCCAATCCGACCGGACCGCTTCCAGCCAGTGTTTCTAACATTACGCGTACGCCTTTGTTCCAAAGCGTGCGGTACGCGAACTAAATTGAAAATACGCCTTGTATCAACCAATAGGAAAAGACAGAACGATAAAATCCACGAATTACCACGCTTATGTACGCGCTGCTCAAAATTCTCATTAGAAAGTCAGGTTCCAGCCCTGCACTGCAAATATGATCACCCACTTTAATATGTGAGAATCATCCACTTTTCTGCTATACCGACCATGGTCGGTATAGCTGCCGATATTAGCAATGAATGAGGTGGTCTTCTCTTTTGTTGTCTACTTTGCGATTTGAGTCCCGGTTCCATAATTGCTTTTAGTTATATTTCAAAATTAAAAAATGAAGAATTTGTCTCCAGTACAATAAGCTATACGCACTCACGCCCTCTCTCACACTCGACATTCTCGTACGTCTTTTTATTCAGCCAATTAAGTTTAAAACAGATGATCCCTGGTTGGTTTGCTTGTATTTTTTCATTTCAAGATTGAGACAAGACGATGATGATCTGATAAATTAAGTAAACAAGTAATAACATATCATTTAAACATCTCACCTATGGTCGTAACATCTCACCTATAGTCGTAACGTAAAAGTTTGAACTGTCATATTGTCAACTGAGTAAAACATTAATTAAGTAGAGCAGCTGTGTGCAAAGTATCTGAGTATGACTTTAAATTTTAACATTTTCTTACAAATGAATCTTTAGTCACAGCGTTCTTTTTCTGTGAGATACGAGTAAAATGAGTATTCGCTGAACCAACTCGACTTTGATTGTTGTGTTCATTGAATTTGGCTTAGACGTTACACAGATGCGTGGAAGAAGAACAAGTAATAACAACAGCAAAACAGGGAAAGAGAGTAAATAATAATAAACAATTTTTTTCGTATATCAGTGACTTGACGAAAGCGAAGTTTGTTGAATGCTATCTGTCGATACATATTCATAAAAACCATCTTCAACTGTAGAATATTAGAGCTAAATTAACTGTCATTTTTCTGTGAATGAAAGCAAACTTTCTTTTAGAGACGTAAGTGTTGCCACGTGGTGTGACGTCGGCAAGAGTTAGCACATCTGGAAGTTTTGACTAAAAAAAGACTATTCTTAACAGTTATATCTCTTCAGATGACAAAAAATTGATAGCTGTTATTGTGACTAAAAGACAAAATGCGGAATCATCATCAAGCATTAACTGATCCGAATAATAATATCGATAATGATTCGGACGAGGAGGAAGATGAACCAGTGTTTAAATTTTCACCAATATCAATATCAACTCGCAAACCAGATAATGATAAAACTTTTGTTCAAGCAGAATTTAGCTGTATAGCTGTACATAGTAAAGTGAGTGAAAGAATGTTTATAATACATGAATAATAATTATTTTTTCATATTTTAGTTTCTAGTCATTGGAAAAGAAAGTGGAGATATTCTTATTATGGATCATATGGGACATATTATATGTCAAGAATGTCAAATTAAAGCGGTTTGTATCCATCAAACGAAATAAAAGACATTACACTGATCTTTTGTTTCGTCTAGCATACATATCCTGTAAATGCAATATCGATCGATGATCGCGGTGATTTTATTGGAAGTTGTTGTCAAGAAGGAAAAGTATGTCTTTACGAACAAAAATGATATGGTAATATTCTTTCTTTTATTCTCTATTTTAAGGTAAAAATATCTGGTTTATTCACTAAAAATGATGATCAATTAATTACATTCAATCGTCCGATTAAAGCTGTTTGCTTAGACCCAAATTTTCTAAAAGCAAAAAGATTTGTTACTGGAGATACTAAGGTAACTTCATTTTCATTTTTGGAATCGTGATCGCAAAAATTAGCTACTATCTGTTTTTTTTTAGCTAATATTAAACGAAAAGGGCACATTTGGTCGCCATAAAACAACCACTTTACTGGATATTGATGGAGGACTTATTCACACTCTACGTTGGAAGGACGGCCTCATTGCATTTGCCAATGATAAGGTATGTCAGTACTAAAATCGTCAAATCAAAATAGAACTGATATATATTTTTTAGGGTGTGGGCGTTTATGATCTTAACGCACGTCGACTTGTTGGATTTGAGAATACTGAATTAAAAAATCTTGGGTATCTATCTTTCCACTAATGAAAAATTTTCTTTCAGAACTTTTCTTGTTTTTAGTGTATCAGCCAGTATATATCCTAGTCGAGTGTCTTGGAATGATAACAATGGATTAGCAATCGGATGGGCAAATCACATTAAAATCATATCGATTACAAATGAACCTTTACAAAATGAACATCAGACTGTTCCAAAAAAAATTATGAATACAGGCATATAACTCGTTCAATCATATTCAGTTTCTGACACATTTGAAATTTCATTTTAATTTCTTTCATTTTAGTTTCATACATTAAACTCGAATATTATACGTGTGGTTTGACAGCTGTTAATAATGATTTAGTTGTATTAGGTGTTGAGGAATTTACTATAAATGTACGACTAATCTATCATTTCAAGATATGTATTTGGTACACTCATTAACACTTTTTTTATTGTTGATTTTAGGATGTTTGTTCAGAGCCATCATTAACTGTACTGGAACCGAGGAAACAAACTTGCGAAGATAAAACTCATGATTATTTTGAAATCTATCGTTATGAACAGACAACACCATTTCAATATCATTTAGGTGGACAAAAAGACATAGTTTTTTTGTTATTTATCAAACTTTCATATTTTCTTTTTGCAGAATATTTACCCAATGAGAAATGTTTCTTTATATTAAATCCGTATGACTTAGTTAAAGCTGAATATCGAGATTATGATGATCATATTGATTATCTAATTAAAAAAAATCTTTTCGATGTACGTACATTTCACTCCAACTCCACTGAACTTTGTTTTAGCATATATGTTTCTTTATACTTAGGAAGCAGTTGATGCCTTTGAAAGACCACCAAATAACCAAAGACCAAAACGACATACAAGACAGGTAAGAAATGTTTTAATTATTTTATTAGCAGCAAGCATCATTTAAATTTATTTACTTAAACATGAATTAAAACATGTATTAATGAAGTTCTACTATTGGGCAGAACTAATAGGAAGAAGAAAGAAGAATACCTTGTCTTGAGGCTACCGTTTTCGGCTTAGGATACTGCTGAATGGCAGTTTCAATAGTTTGATATCTTCTCTGCAGTTTGACAAACTTCTGACAATTGTAACCCATCTCGTTACTAGTCATCAATCACAGCTGTGGACAGAAGGCTACTCTGATGCAGAGTTCTTTCGCCCTGGTTCTAACACAGTACGTCACAGACAACATAATCATTAAGCCATGCCGTCTAGTGAGAAATGATTTAGGAGAGATGTGTCAAGCAGGACTGAGGTAAATTTTATCCCATACCTGCGACTTTTTATTGATGATTCTTTTTTGTTTGTAATAAAATGTGATAATTAATGCAATTGTTGTGAGTTTCAACATTTCAGTTACAGATTTTCAATCTTATATAGTCATACTTACACACACATAATACTACCAACAATAACTGAAGAAAAACCGGCACAATAATATATTTTTTCAATACGTGGATGCCCAGGTCAAAGAATCGTACTATGATCGTATCTGAATCAGACAAAATCGTACCAACTCGTATGAAAATCATATATGAATCGTGGTATCTGATTTGTCCTCTGGATCGTATAATAGGATCGTACAAGATCATATACGATCATACAACTTCGTATGAAATCGTACAGTACGGGCCAGACGACAAA